CTGCCCTCCTGCCTGGCACAGACACACCATTCCCCTCTCATTAATGACAGTAAGTGGCTGCTGGGGCCAGACTTCAGGAGCCACGTTCCCTATTCCCAACCTGCTCTGCTGAAATATCCTCTCTGCAGGATACCTGCTCCCTGCCAAAAGCCTGGCAGCACTGTTTGCTGAGTCTTGTGACTTTTATCAGGAGACTCATAATACTTAGGGCCTTCAGCAGGACTTCATGGCCAAGCCTCATAATTCTATAAAGAGAGAAAACTAATTATATCAATCCAAAGTCCTAATGCTCAGTTTAAAAAAAAAAATAATAAATCTATCAAAATGCTTTTATTTTTATGGGAAACATCAAATTGTTTTTGTTAAACCTCTGTGATGTTCAGTCAATTTCTTGGTTCCTCAGAGCCCAAATTTTGGTATTTGAAAGGCTGGCAGCACTGTCAGACCCGCAGAGGTGTGGAAAAGCTGGGTGCCACCACCTCCCAAAAAACCCACCCAAAACCAAACAATGATGGAAGTGCATGAACCCAGCAGCTCCTGTTTGCTGCTCCCATTGCACTGTCACTGACAGGCTGCTCCTTTCCTTGGCCAGGCCAGGGGAGGTGACTGATGGGGAGCTCCAGAGGACTTTCAGGGAGCCCCCAGTGAACTCAGCACCATCCAGGATTGTTGGGAGAAACCTCAAACCCAGCTGGCAGCACGTGGGAGATGCCTCAGCCCCATCCCAGAGATGGGGAGCAGCAGCATTTCCAAACTCCCTCCTAACTCAGCCCTGAGAGCCCCGGGAAGGAGCAGGAGGACAGCATCCATCCTGTCCTCCTGCTCCTTCCCGGAGCTGTTTTCTCTCCGGGTTTGGAAGGAGGAGGGTGGTAAACACAGAACATGGTGGCTCCCGCCAAGCCTGCTCCCAGGGCAATGTGTTCCTTTGAGACATAATTGATTCCTGCCATCAGGCACCAGCCTGCTCTCCCCCAGGGTCAGCGCTTTCCCACATCCAACCCCATTATCCCACAGACCATGCCTTTTGTACAACACACTCCAGCTATTCATGTGCAAAGCAGCTGTAATCCCCAGACCTTTCAGAGTCAATATACCAGGAAATAATAAATCCCTCTTGTGCACTCTTGAATATGCCGAGAGGTGACTTGTGGGAATTTCAGCTGGGCAGAAAAATAATAAATTCTCCTTAATTTTTAATTATTTGTGATACTCGCTGTAGAAGGACTATGTCATTGGGACATGACTACTTGGGGGTCACCACACAAGCAGCTATAGAAATTGCTTTTGCCTCTAACAACCCTAAAAATGCAGATCAAGTTGTCTCACATGTTTCTTAATGATTAAAGTCCACTTTCCTTCACTCATGCACCGGGGAATGGCAGTATATTAAACATCCTGGATCTGAAGAAAAACTAATTAAAAAAGGTTAAATCTGTGAAGAATGTACTTTACAGTATTAAGACCCCTTTTTGAGTGGGTTCTGATGTCTCAAGGAGGCAAGATAATGCCACGTTAATGACATTTAATGGAATATTTCATACAACAGTTCTAATAACAACATAACCTTTTCCCCTGGAAGAGGAAGATTTCCCTCGACTCCCACTCCACTGGTTCACATGCAGAGTTCCCTGTGGGAACAGAAGCCAGTCCTGAATAACAAGTTTTTTTATGGTTATTTCTTTATATATTGCCTTCCAGCCAGACCATTTTTATACTACTTTCTGTGTGGAATGTCATGTCACTGAATGACCCTGAGTAGAGCATGATAGGCAGGATTAGGGTTAGGGCTGGGGTTAAGGGCAGGGGCAGGGTTAGGGCTGGGAGAAGGGATCTTCATCTGAGACACCAAAGGAAGCAGGGGCAGGGTTAGGGGCAGGGTTAGGGCTGGGAGAGGGATCTTCACCTGAGACACCAAAGGAAGCAGTGGCTCCTCAATTAAAAGCTGTCAGAGGGTCATTAGGGGTCACCTCAAACAGGTAGTTCCTTGTCTTTTCACACCTTGGCCAAGAGCCTCCAGGGAGGAGGTTGTGGGAATATGAGGGTGATGAAGGGATGTGCTAACACTGCAGGGATTTGTGGTGCTGAAATCTGTGAATCTTAACCTTTAGATCAGGTCCACCCAGCAGTGACATACAGACCCAGCAGTTTACCAGGGTTCATCATTTTGAGCAGCACTCAAAGATAACATTTCCCACCCAAGGTGTGTCTGCCTGGGACACTGGCACTGTTATTGCTGCCACCAGCAGTTCCCCACTCAGCTGAGATCAGAGCTGGCTTCATCCTGACCTCCCCCCATTTCCCTGGCTGTAAAAGCTTTCCCAGCACTGCTCCCAACACACAGGGAGAAGAGGCTCTCTCAGCACCCCCAGCACTGCTGCTCCTCCACTCTGCTCCCTGAGGTGCTCCCAGGTGATGCCAGAAAAGCACAGGGGCCAGGTGAGCCCCATCCCTGCCTCTTACCACAGGCACAGGTCAGCTCCCAGCTCCCACAGGGCTCTGTGGAAGAGCTCAGCACCACTCTCCCATTTCCCAGAACAGCAAACTGAGGCACAGTAGCACAAACCAGAGCCCCAGGACAGCCCAAGCTGCAGCTCAGCTCAGCACTCCTGCAGCCACCCCTGCATGAACCGCTGTCCCTGCCCTTGTCACCCCTTTCTCCCCTGGAGAAGCCCCTGGATGGTGAAACGTGCCCATTTCAGCCTTCCTGGGTGAAAAAGCCAAGAGTTCATGGTGCCCCAACAGAAGCACAGCTCCACAAAGGGGTTATTAGCGCCAGGCTGTGTGGGTTTGGATTTCTCTGCCTTTCCCATACTCTTCCCCCATTGATAACATTTCTTGCAGGGACAATAGAAGTGTGCCTTGCAACTACTCCCGACATTAGTGACGGTGCTTGAGCCTGAATGATTTAAAAGGAAGGAATCCAACTCCCAAAAGACCATCTGGCTATCAGTTCTAATACAGCAATAAAGGTCAGGGCTTCTCAGGAGTTGGGAAAAAGATGGTTTTTGACACTGAAGGGTCTTCAACCAGCTTGGTCCATGCCTACCTGTCTGCCAGCACGGCTCCCCTGCTAGGAAAGGGATAACCCAGGATAGCAGCTCCAGGAGGAAGGCCAGCCAGAGAACACAGGAAAACAGGCAACACCTCATTAAAGCTGGCAGAAGCTGGGGCTTGGTCTCTGAGCTGTGTCTTATTTTGTATCATAATCCTTTGACTGCTTCAAAGTGCTCATGAGATGTCTTGTCTCCTGGCTTTCCCACAACGCAGGGAATAAAGGGCTCCAAGGACAACATCTGCCCTTCACAAAGAGCTGGGTCCATTCAGGCTGCTACAATGAGTCCCACGTCACTGCCCATAGCAGTGACACCTCCTTCCTTCCTGTCAACTGCCCATTACCCCTTCGCTTCACTGCAGCATTTCCAAGCAAGAAATTCTTTGGTTTTCTTACCTCACTGCACACTTCCCTCCTCCCTTGCCATGCCCGGATGCTCAGAGGAGGAGCACACCTCTGCCTGGGGCACCCTGAGCTGGACCCACACGTGGCAGGATGCAGCACAGCTTTCCCCAGGTAGCTTCTGGGTTATTTTTGGTGCTGTCTCAAGGGCTGTACCCAAGCAGATATTTTACTCACAACGCAAGATCAGAGCTGACCTCCAGTGCCCTCACAGCTTCATTCTTTATCTCGCCCTTATCACAAAATAAAGGGTTTCTTAATCCATCCTGGCGTTTCCGTGCAGATACAAGCAAGCAGCACATTTTCCATATAAAAAATGGAGTGGGGATGACATGCTGAAGGTTACACAGCGAGGTGTCTGAGATCTGACATTCAGAACACTCACCAGGGCCAGGCTGCAGCGAGGCCAGGCCAGAACCAGGCACACCTGAAACCTCAGCAAGAAGCAGAACCAGCCTTACTGAGGGCCAAAGATGGGCCTCGGCTGCTAAATCCCATTCATGGCCCACCTCTGGTTCCCCAAGACTTCTCAGGACTCTGGGTTGAGCCTCGTGCTGTCCTTTAGCCCATCTTAACCATCATTCCTGAAAAGGTCTGTGTGGAAGAGATAGATGAGAAGAAGGAACAGCAAGAGCTCCAGGGGTGACTCTGCATGGCCCAGCTCTGCTGGGAGGTGTGGGCTCTCCTTGGTGGGGACAGTGGGAACAGTGGTGCATCGGGCTCACAGACTCTGGTGTGTATTAAGACCCGTTTTTGAGTGGGTTCTGATGTCTCAAGGAGGCAAGATGATGCCATATTAATGGCATTTAATGGAATATTTCATACAACAGTTCTAATAACAACATAACCTTTTCCCCTGGAAGAGGAAGATTTCCCTCGACTCCCACTCCACTGGTTCACATGCAGAGTTATGATTCCCCTGTGGGAACAGAAGCCAGAAGATAAAAAGTGGAGTTACAATTCTCTAGTTATTCTTGCTGTTGATCCAACAACCATTTAGACACGTCCTGCCAAGAACCCTGTGGTCACCCTTCGGGTCACCCATTAAAGTGCAACGACTGGATGGACACACACACACACACAGAGCTCCCCCAGGCTCTGGGGAGTGCAGAGATGTCCCTGGGGCTGTTGATTTCAACTCTAGCAGGGCTGCCCTCCCTTTCCCACCTTCCCCCCAAAGTGTGCCTCCTCCATGCCCGGCACATGCGAGGCTCAGGAATGCCATTGATCCCAGCCCAACCAGCTGGAGGCTCGGTGCTTTCCCAGCTCCCCACGCCCCGCACACTCCACCAGCAGCGTGGGCAGAAGGTTATTCTCCCCGGGGCATTGGCAATCAATGTACCATGCACTAATGGATGCTTCCTCTATTGTCCCTCTGCGGGCCTGGATTGGCTGCGGGGCTGTGGGAAACACCAGCCATCCCAACACTCACGTATCTGCCCCGGCTCCCCGGGTATAAATAGAGGCACTTGGGAGCTGCCAAAGCATCTCCTCACACTCGGCACAGCAGCTGCCTGGGGTCTGTGCCCAGGGCTCAGTGCTTAGGATGGCTCCCAGCAATGCTCTCATGATCCACATGGAGGAGAAGCTGCTGCCAAAGGAAAAGAATAAAGTAAGTAGAGCCCCAGAGGGGACTGAAAGGCTGGCTTGCCTCTAGCAAATAAATATTACCTGGGAGAAGAGGGGGAAGTGGTCTGGGGGAAAGCAAATATGTTAAAGAGAGATAAGAGGGATTTTATAGATTTTTAAAAATTAAAATGAGTGGGGAATGGGTAGGCATCATCACACAGCTATCCTGCCAAAAAAAAAAAAAAAAAAAAAAAAAAAGTGTCTTTGAAGATGGGTGTATCAGGGCATCAGAGGGGAAATTGGGTCAGGTCTCACCAAATCCCTGACGATCTGCTCCCTCTCTCACAGCTGAGGAAGCCGGTGGTGGAGAAAATGCGCCGGGACCGGATTAACAGCAGCATCGAGCAGCTGAAGCTGCTCCTGGAGAAGGAGTTCCAGAGGCACCAGCCCAACTCCAAGCTGGAGAAAGCCGACATCCTGGAAGTGGCTGTCAGCTACCTGAAGCAGCAGAGCCAGCTGCAGGACCAAAAAAGTGAGTGCAGAGCAGGTATTGCACACCTGGACCTGCTCCCAGGGCTGTGCCCTCCCAGACACCCCGAGGAGAGCAGTGCACATGAAAGTCACCCACAAATCATCGCTGCCCCATGTTTTGGTCATGATTTTAACCCTCTGCGTTTGCTTTTTCTTTCTCTTTCAGCATTCGTCCACAAGAACCCAGAGCAGGACTTTAACAGCGGGTACCTGCGGTGCCTCAAGGAAGCTATGCACTTTCTGTCCTACTACGAGCCCAAGAAGGAGACCCAGGTCCAGCTGATCAAGCACTTCTGCAAGGCTCAGCTGGGTGCAGATGCCTCCTACTCTGCAGCTCTGCGTGGCTCCCCCCTGTCTCCCTGTGTTTTTCCCAGAAAACAGCCTGCCCAGAAGAGCGTGGCTGCTGCTCCCACCATCTGGAGACCCTGGTAGACCTGCTGAACTTTATCCCCACGTTTTTGCTCCAAAAACTAGAGGGACCTGTGGTTTGTTAGTTCCTCTTTGAAGTAGGAAACATTGCTTTCCAAAGGTGGGAGGAGGGGGCGGTTATTGTTTTTCTGTCACCAGAAATGAGGGTCGCTGGGTGGTTTCCCTTCATAGTGAAGGACTCCGGGTATATCTTGCAGCAAATTTGTTGCTTTTATTGGTGGCTCCTGGCCAAAGACAGGACCAAGTTCTGTGGTGATTTAGAGAGCAAATGACCTTTGGTTTCCATCACAGGCTGCTGAGCCTGTGGCTGTCAGTTGAAATCTTTCTGCTGACTGCCTGGGTCACAGGTTCAAGTGCTCCATTGTCTCCAGATAATGTATTGACCTTCCTCAAGAAGGAGCCCTTTGGAGAATGTGTTTTGTATCATAAAGAGAGGATTCAGCCTTTCCCTTTTGAGTGAAAGATGTTGTTAAGAAATGCTGATTCCTCTGAAGCTCCTCTGCTATTTTTAGTATCCTTCTTACAGAAAGTTGTGATGATCACAGAGAGCTCTAGGGACAATTCCCTTCATGTCACTTTGTGCTGCTCTCATGTGAGGGATAATTGGTGCCTTTTGTAAAGGAAATACCTCTGCTATACCTTAAGGAAAAGGGGGAGGAAGGGAGGCAATAAGTACTTTATAATCATCCACTGAGCATGCTAAGGAGCTTAAAAAGCTTTTATAAAGTTGTGATGTATTCATCCTGTGTGATGTTCAGCTTGCATGTCTTCACTGTACAGTACAATAAAAATGGTTTTAGTCATTAATGCTTTGCTTTGGAATGATTAAAAGGGCTGACACTGCTGGACTGGGTGCCTGCAGCCTCTCCTGTGGTGGGGAAGCCTCAGGAGGTGTCAGTTCTGAGCCCTTCACTCCAATACATGAATTACATCTGTGAAATCCCTTTGGCAGAGCTGGGTTTCAGATGCTGTAAGGAAGCAACCTCTGGAAAAATTAGCAAAAAATCAAAATGGAAATGAATCTGAAGTGAGGTGCTGAGAAGTGGCAACCTTTCAGATTTAACAGTGACCTATTCAGCCTCCCAACAAATCACTCATTCCACAGCCACTTCATTTCCCCCACTAATTTTTCCACCAAGCTGAGATCAGCCTTGTGCTTTCTGCCTGTATTGTGCAAATTTCCCAATAATTTCCAAATAGTTTGGCACCTGCCTCAGCTTGGGGATCTTTAAAACTACCTGCAATGGGGTGAACTAATTTTTGGTGTCTTAATTTTATGACACAAATTCTGCTAGGCTCCCTTTACTGAAGTGAAATTAGCCCACATATGGCTAAAGGATAATTAGATAAGAGAGGCTGAGAAAGCATTTCCTCTCCTAAATTATTTCCTTTTATTTTACCTCCTCTTCAAAACAAATCTGCACAAATAATCATTTCACAAAGCTATTCTCTAACCACAGTAATTCACTGGTTTGGGTTTATGGCAGGGGACACTCTCCTTCTTCCAGAGATACAGGAACAGCACCAAACACATTTGGTCAACAATCCAACTTTCCTCCGACTCCCTGGGAGAGGTGCCCTTGAAAAGCTGCATTTCAAGCACTCAGGGTTTGCTCCCAAACAAAAGGAAACACTGAATACCTGATCTTGTCAAAAGCACAGAGCAACCTGAGATCTGCTCAGTTTGATCTGACAGATCAAACTGCATCCAGCACTGAACCTGCCCAGTGCTCCTTGGGTTTGCGGTGAAATCCTCTGTTAACCACACAGAAAATCCCCAAAAGCCAAACAAGGATGTGCTGCTCTGCCTTATTTTGGGCCGTGGATCATTTTGGTTTTATTTGTGCACAGACTGGTTGAGTGCTCTTCTCTGCCAGTGCAGTGCAAGGGGGGTTTGGTACAGGTCTCTACCAGTGCTCCAAATTTATTCTTCCTAATGAACTGCTAAATAATTCACAAGAGATATTTTTGGGCTTTATGGTTGCTTAGCAAGCTTGAAGAACTCACTTCAACCTCGCTGTGCTCAACTTGTCCTTGCCAATTAGCACAGGCTTCTGAATCCCAGCAAAACTCCAGCTGTTGCCCGTGCCTGTGGGGTTTTAAATCAAGCCTAATTAGGGCGGTTTGGGGGAGTTCAGGCTCAGCTGCAGTGCCATGTGCCCCAAAGCCCAGCCCAGCCTGATGTGCAGCGCTGGCAGCACAGCCACACGTGGCAAGGAGCGGGCTGCTGCTCTTCTGGGGATGGGATTCCACCCAAGGAACCAGGCTCGAGGGTCACAGCTGGCAGCACCTCTGCACGTTGTGTAAAAAAAAATTAGTGTAAGGGAAAGAAACAGTGAATTCCTCCTCCCTGGGTGCTGGGAAGGGACCAAACCCCGCTGGGAAAGCTGCTTTTTGTGGTGCAAGTGCTCCCTTTCTGCTTTCCACCAAGCCCAGCCTTGCCCCTCTGGGCTTTAATTAACCAATTAGCCCAGAGCTAAAAGCCAGACCTCCAGCCTGCCCGGCCCTGCGCAGCAAAGGTTATGTTTACAATTTATTAATTATTATCACTTCTCATAATTGAACTCAAAGCTTCTTAGGGCTCCTCCGGCCCCTGGGGTGAGTCTCCCCTGCTCCCAACACATTCCCACCCTTAGGGAAGATGTTGTTGATTATGCTGATCCCACAGCTCGGGAATACTCTCCTGACAAAGCCCCTATTAACCTCAGAGTGTGGGCCTGAGTTTCTCGGAGTTTCCCACACTTTCTTCCCTATTTAGGGCATTCAGAAGCCCACAAAGGAAGCGTGCCTCACAACAGCCCACATTAGTGACGCTTTTTGGCTCCGCATTGTGACGAGCAGCAATTCCTGTCCCGATGGACCATCTGGAGAGCTATTTTCCCAAGGAGCACATTGATCGATCAGCATTATTCGAAGCCCCTTTTAAAACTTGGGAACGTTATGCTCTTTGACACTAAATAGGTGTCTCAAGAGGGGTTGTCAGAAAGATTTTAAAACCATTTAAGGAAGGCACAAGGAAGGGGAAAAAAAACATTAAAAATCGTAATTATTTCTTTAAAAACGCCATCAATGGCACCTGGGAGACAGGCTGGCATGAATGTAGGAAATGGCCTGAAATAAAAACGCTCTAAAATTAGTGCAAGCCATCAAGTTGTGTGCTGGAAGCACAGCCACAGAGGTACAGGGCCCTGCTTTTTAAATCTGTGTGACACCGACAAGGAAATTCTGGGCTTCCACCTTCCTCCAGACCTGTTGCTCCATTGCAGCACACTGAGCTCCCCTCCATGGAAAATTATGGGCTAAGAAAGCTGCCAATTGGTGTTACGAGCAGTAGCAGCTTTTGTGCAAACTGTGTGGAGTAAATGACACCTGGGCTGAAACCACCACCCGTAAACCAGGAGCAGAAAGGCTCAGCAGCAATTCCTCAGGGAGGAGATCCTCCAGCTGCTCTGGTTTATGGATTGTCATGGACACCAGCCTAAAATGGCAGTCTTGGGGTGGCTGGATCCTTTCCTGGATCCCTGGGGTTGTTCCTCAGCTCACAGCAATCCCCCCACAGCTCAGGGTCAGCGGGGAGCAGCTCCCCTTGGAGGTGATGAAGATGGGAAAAGCTCCTGCCTGGCATTGCTGGGCTCTGAGGACAGACAGGGACAGCCCCTGGCAGGCTGTGATTTTGGGAACAGCACCTTCGTGATGCAGCTGAGGGTTTGGTGGGATTTACAGAGGAGCAGCCTCTGCCCACAGCATCTCCAGATCTCACAGCCCGCTCCAAAAAATGGAATTATTGTGTCCTGTTGTTCAGTCAGCTCCATGTTTGGCAGTTTTTGGGATTTGTCTCTTTTAATCCTTCCTTCCCAAACCAGGAAAAATTGTGTCTCTGAGCCTCAGACAGTCCAATTTTCTGGCTCTGCAGCAACAGTCCAAGGCACAAACTCCTCCCAGGGACAAGGATTTGGATCACAAACACGTTTCAGGGGGACAGACTGCTGCACCAACAGTGGGATTTTTTAAAAAGACCAAACTGAGCAAACTAATTACAGAGTTTTAACAAGGACTAAATGGACTTCCTACAGCAGAGGATGATTTTTCCTTGCTTAAGTCCTTGCAGGGAGGTCATTCTGCACTCCATATATACAGCAATATACTGTAAGGACAGCCCAAGTCTGGACAATTTCTTATTCACAACCACCAAGACAATTTATTATTCACAACCACCAGTTAGGAAATGCTGTTGCCATTAAATTTTCAGGTCTTAATAACCAAACCAACCAGGGGGAATATTTGCTTCTCTCACCCCACAGCAGCACACAGAGGGTGCAGATGTGGCAGGCACGGGGGAGTGGAACTGCTCTGACAGGAGCCAGGAGGAAGGGGACTGAGTCTGCACCTGTGAAAAACAGGATAAAGAATTATTGTAAAGTTTAGTAAGGGATAAAATAAGAGACAAAACTCCAGTGTCGGATTATGGCTTTTTCCGAACCACAGATGGGGCAACTGAGAGGTGTTTTAAAAATTTTTATTCAGTTTCGAGTCTTATGAGAAGGGTGAGATAGCACAGATGTTACAATTCATGTTGTTATAATATAATTTATAAACTTATAGTAATATAATTTATAAAGTTATGATTTGTTGTTATAATATTAGAAGTTAACTATTTTAATTACAATACACTATGTGTTTCTTAGCCTATCAGCTTTAACCACACCATACTATAAATACCTTAAAACCAATCATCTAAAGTTACCCCTCATAAGTCCTACTACAATACATCTTTCATAATTCTGTTTTTCTAAAATTTTTAACCTTATTTACAAAACCATCCTTTAAAACTTATTTCTAATTCGATTTCTCTCCCAATAATGTCTATCCTATTCTATAATATTTCTAAGTCAATATTTCTTATCTCAAAATTTGCATATACATAGACACTATATAAACCTTCTATCAAATTTTAAGAATTTTCTACAAATCCATTTCCCACACATGCAGCCAGGGATAGTCCCAGCTCCAAGGAATACTGCAGATTACAAGCTCACAAAATAATTCAGCAAGCTGATTTTGAATGGGACTCATGGTGTTCAGTTATAATTTTGACAACCATCAAGAATTAAAATCGCTACACCCTAAGTGATTAATCTAAACATAAATTGTCTTTGGGCTGGGGAGGGAATACACCTGGTTTATGCAAATCCATGAGGATCCAGGCAGTGAAAAAGGCTTTAAAACCTTCAGGTTAATAATGGATTACAGGATCATCTTTAGTAGAATTATATCCTTTTATTCACCAGCCCTCTGTGTGATGGCACACTTTGCTCTCCAGGTATCCACAGACATAGGGGAGGGATGCTCTGATTATTAAATCAGAGGTTTCCTGTCTGATTTTGAAAGGCAAACACAAGAAATAAGGAGGGTTTCCATCAGTGTTGTAGTTGTAAGAAACAGGTATTTAAAAACTGCATGAGGCCTCCCATGCCTGACTGGCAGATCCTGAACATGACGGGGTTTGTACTGGGTCGTGCTGGAAGGGGGCAGCAGACCTGAGCTGGCAGCTTAAAACCGCCTGGAAAATAAATAAATAAATATTGCTCCAAGGCAGCTCCAATCCAGGATCCTGCCTGGTCCTTTCTCCTTCATCACAGAGGTGAGAAATCCCAAGACTGAGCACAGTCACAGGAGGGCCTCACACCTGGGTACATCCTGAAAATGGGACAATATAGCAAAATAATAGTCAGGAATTGACTTTTCGCTCCCTCTCAGATGTCTGGAAACGGGAAATATATTCAGGTGGAGACTCAGGAACAGTGAGGCATTTACAAAGTGGCATGAAATTAAACAGGACGTGTTTGGGAAAGACATCACAATCACGACATGCCACGGGCTGCTGTAGGAAAGCCCAGATTACCCAAACAAAAGCAAGGAAGAGCTCTGGGTATAACTTACAGAGGGACTTTAAACAACAGAGAGGAAAATATTTCAAGCTAATGTTTGAAGGGTTCTTCCCTTGATTTTAGTCCCTCCTTGCCTGAAAATTATCTGGTACTGTATTCATCTGAGCACGGTTTAATGTCAATGAAAGGGTTTAGTCCCTCTAATTCTGCATCTTTCCCTTTTCAACCTCTCTTTGGGGCGCAGAGCATTATCTCTTCCTGGGATCAGTCTTCTGTGCTTCATTTCAGCCCAGCCTGGGAAAAGGCAGCGCGTTGAGATGCTGCCGCTCCCAACATCAGGCAGAAGCCGGGTGATAATGACGGCCAACGCTTTCCCACGTTCCCTGCCCAGCGCCGCGATGCCAAACCCTTTTGTGTCCCACACTCCCCAGCCCACCTGCTCCTTTGGGAGCGGGGTATTATCCCCAGGCAATTCACAGTCAATTTGCCATGCTGTAATGGATGCTTTCCCATTGTCCCGGGCACGCATGGATTGGCTGGCGACTGTGGGAAACTCCGGCTCGCTCCGGACCCAGACTTTTGTAATGCGGCCCCTGCGTATAAATAGGGCAGATCCCGGCTGCCTGCCCCACTCGGAGCTGGGAGCAGCCCTTGGGATGACGCTGCTCTCTCCCTGGACATCTGCCCTAAAGCAGGACAGCATCCCATGGGTCGGAGGGAAGCGCAGAGTGAGTACCTGAGAGCCGGGAAGGGCAGCACCTCTGCGGCGCTGAGAGCCGGGGAGGGGAAGGCTCGCTGCTCACCTTCCCTCACCTTCCCTTCTGTGTTACAGCTCCGGGAACCCCGCATGGGATTTACAGCAGCTGGAACTGTCTGGAGAAGGGATTTCAGAGGCGCCAGCCCAACTCCGAGCGGGGGAAAGGCGAAATCGTGGGGGGATGGCTGTGAGCGAGCCGGGATACGGGCGAGGTGAGTGCTGCCCATCCCATCCCATCCCATCCCATCCCATCCCATCCCATCCCATCCCATCCCATCCCATCCCATCCCATCCCATCCCTCTCACTGCCTTTTCCTTTGGGAAAAGCTCTGGCTGTGTAACACCCCCGTGTAACCCTTTTCTCCTCCCCTGCCCTTGCAGCCCGCAGCGGGATCATCCTGACGGGCTGAATTCCCGTCCCGTTCCACGGGCAAGCTGAGCTGCGGCTCCCGGAGGTCACAGGTGGCACCTGGGGACTCCGCTTCTTCCTCGCACCCACCTCCAGCCACCAGCCTCGGGCCAAACCAGCAGCCCCGAAGCGATGCCAAACCCGGCATGTGACGATTCCGCGATTTTTGGGCGTTTCCCGTGTTCCAGAGGAGACCGCGGCTTGCTGTACAAGTCGCCCCCGCTCCTCTCACGAGTAGGGAAGGATGTTCCCCCTTTGCAGGTCGTCGCCCTGCACGGATGTGAGCTCCCCTTCTCGCAGAAGGACTGCAGCCATCCCACCGCGGGGAGAGAGAGTTGTTCCGAGGGAATGTGAGCTGTATCCTCCCGCTGGGAGGAATGCAGGGGCCGCTCGGCTCTTCTCAGCCTCTGCGAGGTTGTCCTTGTAGCTCTGCTGGGAAAGCTGGAACCCCTGGGACGGTCAGAATTCCCAAAAAAAGCCTTTTCCTCTTTCCTTTCCCTCCCAGGGCATCCACAGCTGGAATGTGTCACACTGGACACATTTGGGAATCTGGCCTTTCCCACGGTGCCACGAGGGGTTCTGTAATATTTGTAATCTATAATATTTATAATTATAATATTTATAATCTATAATATTTATAGTCTGTACTGAGCACGCTCTGAGAATGGTTAAACCATATCCCAAACGGTGTAGAGGAAATTCCTCGGGATGTCTTGCTCACGAGCCAGGGCTGTTTGTGAGGTTCAGGATGCGTGTGTGCCTTTTGTAAAGGCAGGGGCTCGTTTTTGTGTCCTTGTAGGACTGAAAGTTACAGCTGTGCTGTCCATTATGAAAGAAATATTTAAGTCTTTCGTGAAAGGCGGGTGTATAAATTATATTTAGCTTTTGGTACCCTTTTGCCAGGGGAAAATGGGAATTTGTTACTGTCCTTGGAGGATGTTTTGATGTGTTCTGTGCAAGCTGCACCAATGTATGACCCGTGCCAGAGTTATCTTGAATGTCAGAAGTTGCAGAAACTTTTAGCGGTCAAAAATAAATAAAAATCTGCTTAATCGATCCAAAGTTATTCTTTTTTTTTTAAGTAGTTTTTACAGCTGGTTTCCCTGTGGTCCACTGACATGAGACAGATTCCAGTGAAAGCAAAGATATTCAGATTTAACACCGAATTTCCCATTGGGACCTCTGCAATGCTGATTTCCATAGCTCGGGAATATCAAACCCCAGCTCTCTCAATGTGAGACAAAAATAACAGCACGCCCGAGCAGCCAATTCTCTGGGAATTCAGAGCCAAGAAAGCTCACTGCAAGGGTGAAAAAAATCATGGAATGGTTTGGTTGGGAAGGACTTTCAATATCACCTAACTCCAACAGGCAGGGACACCAAACACAGAAACTACTTTTAATTAAGAGATAAAGTTTCCCAAGGCACAAATTCACATTCTTGGAGATGTGTCGGGGTCATAAATCACATGGAAACACTTGGTGGGGGTTAAAATTCAGGGGTTTGGCTACAGGGGACACGCACAGTGGGGCTGTCCTGGACCCCCGTGAGCTACCGGGGATCCCCCCGGGGGTCTCTGCCCTCCCTGGGGGTCTCTCTGCCCGTTCTCCCCAGTCCCCCCCAGGGGTCTCTCTGCCCCTTTTCTCTAATCCTTCCCGGGGGTCTCTCTGCCCGTTCTCCCCAGTCCTCCCCGGGGGTCTCTCTCCCCCCCTCCCAAGCTTCCCCCGGGGGTCTCTCTGCCCATTACCCCCCAGTTCCCCCCGGGGGTCTCTCTGCCCTCCCTCAGGTTCACTCTTCCCCCTCCTCAGCTCCCCCCAGGGTCTTTCTGCCCTCCCCGGGGGTCTCTGCCCGTTCTCCCCAATTCCCCCCGGGGGTCTCTCCCCCCATCTCCCCCAAGTTCCTCCCCTAGGGTCCCATCGACCCCACCAGGGCTCTGTCCTTGTCCCCCCCACCCTCGCTCCTCCCGGGATCTCTGCCCCGGGGTCTCTGCCCGTCCCCCCAAGCTGGCCCCGGGGGTCTCATCACCCCCTCCCTGCGGTCCCCCTAAAATTTCCCCTGAGGGTCTCTCCGCCCGTTCTCCCCCAGTTTTCCTCGGGGATCTCTCTGCCCTCCCCGGGGTTTCTCTGCAATCCCCGGCTCCGGGGTCTCACCGACCCCTCCCCGGGCTGTCCCCCCGTTCTCCCCGGGGTCTCACCGACCCCTCCCCGGGCTGTCCCCCCGTTCTCCCCGGGGTCTCACCGACCCCTCCCCGGGCTGTCCCCCCGTTCTCCCCGGTTCCTCCCGGGGTCTCTCCGCCCCCCTCACCGCGGAGTCCCTCAGGCTCAAGGCCCCGCCCCCGCTGGTGGGCGGGGCCGGCGCGCGCTCCCCGCCTGATTCCTCGCGCCTCCGCTCGTTCGCATGCAGATTTATGCGCATACATTTGCATGCCGATGAGGCCGGGGTGAGGGAGGGAGCGGGTCGCGTTCAAAATGGCGGAGCGGGGCGGGCGCGGCAGCGGTCACGGCAGCCTGGACAAGAGCATCACCCTCCCGCCCGACGAGATCTTCCGCAACCTGGAGAACGCCAAGCGCTTCGCCATAGACATCGGTAACCTCTCCGCCCCCCTCACCGCGGAGTCCCTCAGGCTCAAGGCCCCGCCCCCGCTGGTGGGCGGGGCCGGCGCGCGCTCCCCGCCTGATTCCCCGCGCCTCTGCTCGTTCGCATGCAGATTTATGCGCATACATTTGCATGCCGATGAGGCCGGGGTGAGGGAGGGAGCGGGTCGCGTTCAAAATGGCGGAGCGGGGCGGGCGCGGCAGCGGTCACGGCAGCCTGGACAAGAGCATCACCCTCCCGCCCGACGAGATCTTCCGCAACCTGGAGAACGCCAAGCGCTTCGCCATAGAGGCGGGGGGGACCTGCGGGGAGGGGGCGGCGGTGGGGAGCGGGCGGCGGCCCGGCCCCACTGAAGGAGCCCGCGGGGGGCCGGGCCGGGCGCGCGCGGGGCACGCTGGGAAGTGTAGTCCCCCGCGACGCGCGGGCCAGCGCGGGTGGGCGCGGATTCACTACAGCTCCCAGCGGGTTGCGCGGTATGGGGGGCGGCGCGGGGCACGACGGGAGTTGTAGTCCCGCCGCCGGGTGCCGGCGCGGCGCGGGTGAGGAGCGGCACTACATGTCCCGGTGGGCCGCGCGCGGGTAACGGGCCGCGGGGAGCCGGGCGGGGTGGCCCGGTCCGGGCTGCCCTTGGCGGCCAAGGGAGAACGGGGGAGAGCGCGGGGGGCTCGGCCGGACCGGCCGTGGGGCGGCGGGGCTGGGGGGCATCGGTTGCACCCCCTCAGAGTGCGCCGGGCCCTGCCCCAGTGCGCCAGCACCGAGTGCGGAGCCCCTCGGCCGCCCCCCGGGCCAGGCCGCGGCCCGCGGGATGCTGCGGGCGCTCCTCCGGCTCTCAAAAGCGGCCTGGAAGAAGCAAAAAGGGCTGGGGACGGCGGCTGTGGCACTGCCCGGGCAGGGCGGCTGGGGGGCTTGGCGTGTGTCGGGGTCTGTCACTGCTGCCTCAGTCACCCCCAAAACCACCCGCTGCCCTGTGCGTACGCGCCAGCAGCCGACACTGGCGATTCCCGAGGTGACACACAGGGTGACACACGTCAGGGGGACACACAGGGTGACAGGGTGACACACAGGGTGACAGGGTGACACACAGGGTGACACCTGCGCGCCGCAGCCGGGAACTGTGCGGGGACAGGCTGAGCCTGTTCGCAGTCCTTCCCGTGCAGGTTTCAGCAGTCGTTCTGCGGACACCCACTAAGCCGCAAGTGCCATTTCACACATTTTCCTTTAGGAGAAAAGCCAGGGAAAAGAAAAGCAAGTTATTGCTGCTCAGGTGAACACTGCTCTGTGTGCTGGAGACTCAGGGACAGCAGGGAGAAAACCTGCAGCATGATAGAAAATGTTGTCGTGTCACTTCAGCCCCTCAGGAGCTGCTGGTTCCACGCCTGTGAAAATAACAGCTGGAGCTGGCCCTTGGTGCGGGTCAGCTCGGAATTAGAGTCGTGGGATTAGTTATAAAACCTAGTTACATGTCTCAGCTGGTGTTCTGAATGGATTTAAGTCTTTAAAAAGTGGGAGGGGAAGGGGATAATGCACAAAGCGTGGCTCTGCGTCCCGTGGGTCTGGTGGTGAATTCCTGCAGCCCGTGTCATTGTCGGTGTAAAGAACGTGACATTCCAACACTGAGCCTCAGTTTGGAGCTGTGGAGGGAAACTTTCCCATAAAAACTGTGCAAGCCCTCACCTTTTAGTAGAACAGACCGTGGGTTTTGTTTACCAGAAACTTCAAAGCACTGCCTGGGACACTGAAATCAGATCCAAGGTCAGGGAAGCTTTATTGCTTTTGTTACTTTTAGTGTCTGTCCCTGGTCACTCTGTGTTGACCTCACTTAAATTTTCCTGGAGTAAACTGCCTGTTTTTCTCCTACAGGTTGCAAATATTTTCCTAACAAAAATGTTTGAGCACTGTGGAAGAGCTGACACTATCTTTCACCTCTGCTGCTTCATTTCTTGGTGCAGTGCCAGTGAATTTAGCCATTATTTAGGATCTAACATTGCCAGGTTTTTATTTACTTTCAGGACTTTAATGTTAACCCAGTAGTGGATCACAGTTACCCTCAGACCTGGAGCACTGTGGTGGAAAACATTGAAGTTATTCAGTGTAACCCCAGAAATCCACTTTTGCAGGTCAGATGCAAAGACAGGGCAAGGGGTTGAATTCTTTTTCAAGGGGAGAGTTGAAAGTTTTATTGCCATGAGCAGACTGGAGGCCTGAAGGGGGTGATGAGGCTGCTCTGCTCTGCCAGACTTGCACATTGCTAACATCTCCAACTGCTGTGTGCTTGAGAAACATCACTATGGGCATTCTTTAGCCCAAAGCCAAGACCAGTCTTGCAAAATAATTACTCAGTACAAAGGGTCATTTTCTAACCAGCCATGAGTTTGCAGATTTGTTCCTAAAAGCAGGGTAGGAATATTATTTAGGTGTTGCTGCTGAAACACTCTGTGCACATGGTGGGCATTGCTCAGTGGTGGCAAACCAGCTGAGAAAATCCTGCTACAGATTTGGGGGGTTTCATAAAGTTTCCAAACAAGGTGAATAACAGCAGTACATGTACTGGCCTGGCTAATTAAGAATTTCCACTGCTCATCCTCATCCCACATCAGTCAGGCAGAAACTGAATTTATGGAGTTTTTCCCTCCTGTGATGCTCTGGGGGTTAACCAGGCCAAGCAGTTCCTCAGCAAAGGTTCTTTCTGCATTCTCATTATTTTTCTCTGGCTTTAACTGAGGAAACTTGGAGAACCAACATGAACATAAGTTCTATTGTTTGCTCCAAGGTGAGCCATTAATCATAACTTGTCATCTCTTCATGAACAGGTGGTTCATTAACCAAGTTGGCTTATTACTCAACTGTACAGCACAAAGTGGCAAGAGTGAGATCCTTTGATCATTCTGGAAAGGTGAGAATTCCATCAGGGATCAGCTGCATGTGATTGACTCACAGGAGTGAGGTTCTGGACTGGGTAGAACAAAAATTGTACCCAAACACATCCAATAACTTGTTCTATATAAAACTTTTTGGGAGGTGTTTGTATTGCCAGGTACTATTTGAAATGTTTATTTTCCAGACAGTAAGTGTGGTACTTTTGTAAAAATACCCTTCTCCTGTGCAGACATAAGTTTCCTCATGCAGAGGGATTTCCTGCACATCAGCCACATGGGAGAATTGATTATCTCAGCTTAAGGAGAATTAAGACCTGTGAAACTCTATTCTTCTTTGACATAGCTTGAGGTGTTATGTTTAGTGGCATTAACACAGTTTCAAGGGCAAGAAAAGCACAAGTATTGATGTTCAGTAGTTCAGCATTTAACCTTGTTTCTGCAAGAATGTTCTCTAAGAAATCCCTTTCTCTTTTAAAGGACATAGACAATGAACCTTTGTATGAAATATCTGTTCAGGAGGAGATTACAGCTCGACTTCACTTCATTAAATTTGAAAACACTTACATTGAAACCTGCCTAGATTTCATCAAAGACCATCTTGTCAATACAGAGACAAAAGTCATCAAAGCCACAGGTGGTGGTGCCTATAAATTCAAAGACCTTATTGAGAAGAAACTGGGGTTGAAGTAAGTGGAACTGCTTTTTCTTCCGTAAAGAATTAACTTACACCTACTCCAAAAGCTTTTGTCATTTTCCTGGGCATGCTCAGAGGTGATTCATGTGACAGTCATTTATTGTACAGCTCCTACCTAAACTTCATGCAAAGGCTTGCAGGAGAACAAAGGGCAGCCCCATGAATTTACAGCTTCATAAATTTCCTGCTCAAGCACCGTTATCAAACACCAAATACTAAAATGCTTACCCTGAAACCTGCCTAGATGTCATCAAAGGCCATCTTATCAATACAGAGACAAAAGCCATCAAAGCCACAGATGGTGGTGCCTATAAATTCACACTTTCTCTGCTATAAGTGTAGAAGAACATTCATTTACCCCAATATTAAACATCACTGGGGAGAGCTTCAAGGCACCTCTCCTGTGTGATCTGTGTGGTAGATTCCTCAACCCCTGAGGCTCTGTGCTCATCTTTTACACTGTCTTTGCAAATTAAGTATTTCTCCTGATAAGCTGGGCTCTGTTATCTGTTTATTTCACACCAGCCCCTTTTAGTACCTTATTGGCTGTTACTAAAGATCAATTGATCAAGATAAGGAAGCACTTTCCCCTCTTATCTCATGTGGTGCACCTGGTTTAGATTTTTATTTGGTTCTGACATACTCAGTTTTTCTCCAGCTCCAAACCAGAGCAGCTTCCTCGCTGTGGAACACACAGATCGTTCTGTAGTAGTTGAGATGAGTTTGTGCCTTGTTTATGTGCTCCCAACAAGCCTCAGGATATTTCCTGTAAGAGTTTCCATAAATCAGTAACAGTACAGAGACACAGAAGTTCACAGAAGTGTTTGCTGACTTATCAATCATCTTCTCTAGGTTTTGTATCACATTCCCAGACTCCACACTGGGGATATCCTGTAGTGAATCCTGCTACTCTTGTGAGAAGTCTTTTTTTCTGTGTTTGCTAATCCCACTTGTAGGCTCCTCCCAGCCCCTTGAATCTGTCATAAACAAGTGCTGAAAAGTTGAGGGGGCCTTTTGTGCTTTATTAGGAGGCAGGGGAAGAGCAAGAGATGATTATTCCATGTTGGGAAATTATTTTCTGAGGTTAATTTCCAGCTAAGCCTCCTGACCTACTTTATAGCAGGGGTGCACAGACCATGAAAGGAGCAGGGCAGGAAAAGAGCAGTGTAAACAAGCAAACAGGATTATTTTTAATGACAACATGATTAAAGTTACTGTGTAACAGAACTCCAGTGTGGACTTCTGACATGGGAGGGGAGCACCAGACCATGTGCAGATGGAGGTTTCATGTTTCCATTAGAGCTGGGCTTGTGCCATGTTGTGTGAAAATTCCCCTCTGCAAAGTCTGTGCAAACTCCTGCTCCAAAAGCAAACTGCCTTATCAAGGAGGGCTGGGACATTTATTTAAGGCTTTTTCCTCTCCTTCAGAGTTGATAAGGAAGATGTAATGACCTGCCTAATTAAGGGGTGCAACTTTGTGCTGAGGAACATCCCCCACGAGGTGTTTGCTTACCAGAAGGATTCAGACACAGAATTCAGGTTCCAGACAAACCACCCCAACATTTTCCCTTATTTGCTGGTGAACATTGGCTCAGGGGTCTCCATAGTGAAGGTGAGTGGTGGCCAAAATGCTTTGCTGGAGATTTGATAAAGGTGATCTGAAACCTCTTACTGGTTCAGATTTGTACTTGTTTCTTCTTGGGTAATGTGAGGTTAAAAAATGAAACTGGGCATTTAAAAAAGTTTATTAATTGCAGAGTTATGAATGCCTTTCTATTCACTATTTTTTTAAAATTACATTCAATTTGATATTTAGAGAAGTGATTACCCAGTGAGAGCAAAGGCTGTCAGATCAAAGTGATTTTTGTTTGTTTTGTCACACTGTTGAGGAGACCAAGTTTAATGTCTATATTTAGCATTACTCGTCAAGAATTAAATGCAAAGATTTCCAAAATTGCTTGTGGTGTATGTGCAATGTGCCCTTCTCACCTGCCACTTCCACAATGGAAAGATTCCATCTCCACTGATTCCACTCTTCCAAAACCTTTCACACTCTGACATTTAAATCTGTGTTCAACATTATAAAAGGACTTTCTAAATAAATCTTGTTTGACTCACAGGTAGAAACAGAAGACAAATTTGAATGGATTGGTGGCAGCTCAATTGGAGGTGGAACCTTCTGGGGTCTTGGAGCTCTGCTCACCAAAACAAAGGTAACCAAGTGTCTCTTTTAAGGGGGGTGGGATTAAATTAAATGCTGGGAGGAAGCCTGAAATGTTGGAATGTTAGGTAAGAAGGCTGAGTCCTGCACTTGTGTTCATATTTTTGACACTTCTGATGCATAAAAGGAAAGTTTACATGGAAAAGGATACTGGTGGAATATAGGGACAAGAATTAGAAGATGCTTATTGTGACCAAAAGCAATCCTGTTGGGGCTCAAGGACAAGTGATGGACAAGAGCCTCCTCAAAGTGGCCTGGTAATTTTTTATTCTCTTTTCAACTTAAAATACCAGCCCAGTTCCTGCAGTACTGTCTGCAGAAGAAAGCAGGGAGCACACAATTGCTGCAAAGTGTCTGGGAGCTGAGAGGAGAAGTTTTGCCTCATGGTTGGTTCCTTGGTTGCCAATGCAAGTTTAAATCCTGGGCTGATGAACAAGGCCTGACTTAGTCCTGCTCTGACATCATGCTGTGCTTCCCAAAGAACCACCTGGCTTAAATGAGTGTCCTAAATGTCAGCAGTGTAGGAAAAGCTAGAGTTACAAATGAACCAGATAAGAAAATGTCAAAGGGAGGGCACAGCCTGGGCTGTGCTTTTGGTTTGATTCTCCTAAAGAAGAAATCTTAGAACATGACAGCGCCTGCTCTTAATTCTCTCTTGGTTTTGTAGAAGAAATTCAAGTTAACAGGGTTATGAATTAACTATTGGGATAATGGAGCTTGCCTGCAAGTTTAATTTCAGGGACAGTAAAGGCACACTGAGACTTTTTTCTCAAACTTCTCTTTTAGTGACCTTTCGGAAGACAAAATTGTTTCCTCTTAGTTCCTGTGTTTCTGACTTCCAAGATAAGGGATGCCACGAGGCCTCTGACTGTTTTTTATGTGCTGACCCACCCTAGTTTTCAGGGGAAATTCAACAAAATATCTGCAGATAAGAAAGAGGTTGATTGTGGTGTTCATCTTTAAAGGAGCTCCACTTGAGATCTGTGTGTTTAATCACTTTGGATTCAGCCTTGTAATTAGAAATAGCCTGTCTTTGGCTGGCAGGGTTAATTCTAAGGCTGGTTTTGGTCAGTAAAGATGCTGCAGAGCTCTGGCTCAGGTCAGCTGTGGTAACTGTGCTTCTCACCCTCAGAAATTTGATGAATTGCTGCAGCTGGCCTCAAAGGGCCAGCACACCAACGTGGACATGCTGGTCAAGGACGTGTATGGAGGTGCCTACCAGACCCTGGGGCTCAGTGGGAATCTCATTGCCAGCAGCTTTGGGAAGTCCACCACAGCAGACAAAGGTACTGGGATAAAAAACATCTACCCAAACATCTCTGGCTCTTGGGAATAACTTTGTACTTTTTACAAGTATAGCTGAAAATAATCACCAGCTTCTTTCATTATCTCGTGTTTTGCCTGCACAATGTTGATTAAAAATATTATGCAGTACCGCTTTATAAGCAGACATTTAAATTTTCAGTTTGGGATTGCCCAAGCCAAGGGAAAATTAAAAAATAGCTGTCTGGTTAGCCTGGGGTTAATTAATTCCTGTGGGAAATAGATGTGGCTTTCTGGGCTCTAGAAAGGCCCTTTGGCAGTGATTTATTGCAATTTGCAGTATCTTAATGAAATACTTGCAGTGCATCTCAGGCCAAGAGGGATGGATGAACCCTCACCCGTGGTTCCTAGAGAGAAGAAATGGATTCCTGCCATCCAGGAAGAGTTTTTGCAAGAAATCTTTCACACAGGCTTAGTGAGGGCTTTTTTTCCTGTTATCTTTAATCAAATCACACTCCTCCTTGTTAGAAGTACATTATATATGTGAGGTTTTTCTTTTCTTCTCCACACATCAGGAAAACTGCTCCAAGCCTGGATTTTTCTTTCCCCAACTGCAGGTTAAGTTAGAAAAGCACAGTCCACTGGAGCTCCCTCAATTTGTGTGTCATTTGCTTTACTCTTCCTTCCCTTCCAGAGTTTTCCAAAGAAGATATGGCCAAAAGTTTGCTCCACATGATCAGCAATGACATTGGGCAGCTGGCCTGCCTCTATGCCAAACTGCACAACCTGGATAAAATCTATTTTGGAGGGTTTTTTATCCGGGGCCACCCCGTCACCATGCGCACAATCACCTACAGCATCAACTTCTTCTCCAAGGTAAGGAAAACACAGGCTTCCTTACAGCAAAGTCACATTTTAGGTATTTTTCTAGGCTGTTGGGATACCTTAATAAATTAATTTGCACATGAAGTAAGCTTAGAATGCTGCTCCTTAGGTAGGTAAGGCTGGGATGTGTTGGGAGGGGTGAAATCAATGTGAAATGTCTGGGAGTTGTGTCTGGCCTTTTTTCTCTCTCCTTGCCTCCCTCTCTCTCTTTCTATTATTACTTTTTGATTGACAGTCTGTCTTGTAGCTCCAAGTAATGAGTTTCCACTGTGTTCTTAGATAGTCACCATCATTATTCAATTCCTCTTGCTGATTTGCATCTTTCCACCCCCAGGCCATGCAGTGTGGGGTTGTTCTGCTGAGACAGTTGGCATCAGTGGGGTTTTGTTACTAAAGAGAAAATCAAACCTCAAATCAACCAAGCTGAAGTTCTTTGCAGGTTTTGAAGCTGTGGAAAATACTGAAGATTTTTGACTAGAAAAAAGGTTCCAATCCACAAGCTTGTTAATGGTTGTTACAGGTAGATTAAGTTTTGAAGCTGTGGAAAATACTGAAGATTTTTGACTAGGAAAAAGGTCCTATCCACAAGCTTGTTGATGGTTGTTACAGGTAGATTAGTCCTGCACTTTGGGAATTTTATAGAGTAGGTGACACCAATTTTTTTCTCATCTCAGTGCTTCATGCAAGAGACTCCTGTGTGCTGCTTTTTCCCTTCTTTATTTCACCATTATTGTCCCTTTCTGTTCCAAGAAAGCTATTGCAAAACTGCAGCTTTAGGTTGTTGTAAGAGACACTTTGCCAGGGATTCAAATCCAAATCTCCCTGTGAGCTGGAGCTGCTGTTTCCCTGTAGCTGCCCTCAGGGTGAGCTGTTCCCACAGTCACTGCTGAATTCCTTGGGAAAGGCCATGTCTCACCCACCCTGGGAAAGCTGAGGGGCCCTGCTGTGAGGATGGAGGCTTCTCCTCCCCAGCATTCCTGTATTTTGCATTAATAATTGAATTATTTGGATGGGGCAATGCTTGCCTGTGGTGTTGAAGAGCAGTGCAATGAAACAAAGACAAGGAGCAGTGTCCCAAAGGTGTTGCTGCAGTGGCACACACTCACCTTGGCAGTCACATGCCCTTGCATTTCCAGCCTGTTGAAGCAAGAGGAGTTGAATATTCATGGAATGATGCAGTGGTGTTTCCCAGGGAAGGCCATAGAGCACACACCACTGGTGCATGGGTGTTTTCCAGCTGTGTGATAACTGGGGAATGATGTGTGTGAGCAGTTCCTCCCTGAGCTGTTCCAAAAGCACCATAAAAGTTGCTGAATGTGTGAGAATGTAGCACAAATGCCTATTACCATCTTCTAGTTGTTTCTATTAAATTAAAGTGTGAAATTAGTGACAAAGAAGTGCCTGTTAGCCCTCAGGGACCATCCAATTGCAATGTTTCATATTGTGGCAGGGAGAGGTTCAGGCATTGTTCCTGAGACATGAAGGCTACCTGGGAGCCATTGGGGCATTTTTAAAAGGAGCTGAACAAGACAGTAAGTACAGCACTGCTCTGTTCTGTATATGCTGTGTTCTGAAATGTCAGTGTACTGTCCAAGTTTCTCTTAAGAGGCTGCATGTAAGCTGTTGCCTAAATAAATCCATTTGGCACTAACAAACACAGATGCTGGGCTTTGGTTTTATGCATTCTGGCAAGGACATCTTAATTTCTCACTGGATTTCCTGCTCACCTCTGAGAAGGCAGCAGGAATGGGCTCTTCTCTACTCTGCAGTTCTACAAAGAGCAGTCACAGCTGTAAATCCAGCTGGAGAAATGTGGGTTTGGAGAACCTCCCCCTCTTTAAGAGGCCACTTCTGAATTCCTTTAATGTACTGAGGAATACCAGCATCTCCAAACTGTGTTTGTTGAGAGTGAAAAGCCTCACAGAGGAAACCCTTCTGTCCAGATCTCTTGGATCCCAGGGTGTTTTGGTGGAATTCTGCCTATTTAGTTTTCCTTTTCCCCTGTTGGTGTGCTGGCAAGCCAGGCAGTGCATTGGTTACAGTGGCACAGCCACAGGCTGCTAATGGTACTTAGCTCAGCAAGTATCAAATGCACCTCCAAAAAATGGATGTGGAATTCTTTTCCTGCCCATTTGATAGAGATGGGCAAGGAACCAGCTACTGAGGAATTAAAGACATTGCTTCTGCAGCATGTACTGTACATCTGAGCTCATTAAACTTTTCTCAAATAAAGCAAATCTGGAAATAACTTTAGTGTTTCTTGAAGCTTACATTGTGCTTTGAGAGTTCTGTAATACTATTTTGTTAATAATGGATCTAGATTTAGAAAGAAATGCTCAGTGATAGTGCTTTGGAGGCATGCTGATTAATGACAAGGAAATGGGGTTAAAATAATTCTTTTGGAGCTTAAATTGTCTCTTGTCTCATTCAGGTTGGAACTCTTTGGAGCAGGTAATTCATTGAGTGGTTGAAATATCTCTTTTGGGGGTTAGAGGGAAAAATTCTGTTTGCTTTTAAAGACAAGGGGAGCTGGCTTGTGTAGTGCAGCAGCTGCTCAGAGGGATGCTGGCTCTAGACTCACTCACAGGAGTATTCTCAGTTTTATTTTCAGATTATGTGTGTCTGTGTCTTTCTCTTTTCTAGATCCAAACCAGTACAGCTGGGGAGAGAATTATGCTGGGAGTTCTGGGCTTATGAGCACATCCCCTGATGTTTACCCCATGCAGAGAACACGGAGTGGTACAGTATGTGCTGTCTTTCCTAGCCCTGTGTGTGTTCTCTTAGCAGTGCTGACCTGGACATAGGTGATTATTCTCCAGCTGGTTGCTGCTTGCCCTTGAGGCTCCTGCTTCCCAGAGAAGTGACCAGTTTGGTGTCTGGTGTGGTGTTGTCTCGTGTCCTGTGTGGTGTTGGATGGAATGTTTCATGACACAGACTGCCTGCTACTTTGTCTTGCTCCCCTTCACCAAAGTGGGGAGAATGTTTGTCTCTCACCCTTTCTCTGGAGCAGCTGGATTTTGCTGCAGCTGAAATACCTCAGAATCTGGAATTTCATGTTCAGCCATCTTTAAGCAGTGTTAATTTGCTTCCTGTGAGAAGGCAAATACAAGATTGGACAGAAGAGCACAAGCCCAGTCACCTCTTAAAGTCACTGACAGTACAGCAATTCTGATTCCACAGTGGATTGTTTTCACACTGGATAATTTCTGTCTATAGGGTGGGCATGGATAAAATAATCCACAGAGGGAACTGGATTGTTTATGATGACCTATAATTGTCTGCAAATCTGTCAGTCTTAACAGTGGCTGGACTTCTGCAACCCTTGTGTTAATTTAATTAATTGTGAATTAATTTCTGAGTGAGTTCTAATCCATCTCTTTCATTTCTCCCCTAGTTTGACATGCTGGAAATGGACAGATTAGAGAGACCACTTGTTAACCTGCCACTGCTGAAAGACCCCTCCACCTATATCCCAGACACTGTTGACCTCACAGATGATGCCATGGCCAGAAAATACTGGCTCACCTGCTTTGAGGAGGCACTGGATGGGGTAAGTGTCACAGAACAGTCCTGTGTGAGTGACACAGGTATTTAGGAAACAAATCTTCTGTGGAGCAGCATGTTTGTCCTGTAAAATGTTCCTGCTGTGGCACCCTCTGGGAGTGCAGCCCCTCTTTCCCTGTAACAGAGGCACATGGCATTGTCCCAGTCTCTTAAGGAAGGGTTTGGTCCCTTCAAAGGCAGAAATGTTCTTTTGTCGTGCTTTTTTTTAGCACCTGAAAGGTGTTTTCAAAGCATTTCTCTCTTTAATGGCAGTTGGACCTCTGTGTACAGAGCTGCAAGCAGGACAGTTACACAACCAAAGGCCAGAGCTCCTTGGGTTGTTCCTCCTCTGGGAGCAGTCCTGCTGCCTCACAGACACTTTTCCATGGGAAGAGCACAATTGAACCAGACACAAATTATTTTTTTCTGCACTGAAGCTGATTCAGGCAGTTCACTGGAGTAAACAAAAAGAGAACACAAGGGGTCGATGTGCACCATTCAATGTCTGCCTGTTTCTCCTTCAGTGTATGAGCATTGTTATTTTTTTCCTCTCCTCTAAGCAGTTGGAATTTGTGCTTAATTTCTGACAGTACAGTCTGGAAAACCAGCTTTAACTCTTTTGGGATGAAAAGAGCCATTAAAATTGTTGTTTACTGTGTGGAATGAAGGGAGGCTGGGAGGTGCTGTGTGGGAGGGAGCAGCCAGGCTGCAGGCACAGAACAGGGAGGCAGATGGAGGGGTTATTGCTCAGACTGAACTTCACATCAATTACAAGGAGGAAGAGTTAATTTGGTAACTCCAGTGTTGTTTCTTTTCTCTGCCAGGTGGCAAAGCGAGCTGCAGCCAGTCAGCCAGACTCTGTGGATGCACAGGAGAGAGCTGAGAAATTCCGCCAGAAATACTGGAATAAGCTCCAGACACTCAGGCAGCAGCCTTTGTAAGTGGTTTTATTTTCCCTTTTGCAACACTTGCTGCTTCTGATGAGCAGTGGAAGCCCACCAAAAGCTAACCAGATTGTGAAGCAGAGCAAACAAAGCCAAGTAGGCTGAAGGCTCAGGCAAGTTTCTGTGCCAAACATCAGATCCTCTGCACGGAGATTTTGGATTTCATGTCTTGGAGTTGAGCAGTGAAATTCTATCTTGGCAGAAAAATTGTTATTAAAAATTTGTATGTGGTTATTAAAAATAGCAGCAAGTTAATTCTGAATAGTCTTCCTCCCTGTATTTAAATAATCTTATTGCAGATTTAAGATTATTGAATCTACAATAAATAATCTTAATTGTAGATTCAATATTCTTATTGCAAAGCCAGGGTTTAGCACCTGTGTCTTGCAACCTCAGTTCTCATGTGAGGGACTGTGACTTACAGCGGAAACAGAGAGAAACACAGCTTTTTCTGTTTGAAGTAATTGATTTGTTTTTTCCCCCTTCTCCCTTTTTAAAGTGCATATGGTACCTTAACAGTCAGAAGTCTCTTGGATACAAGGGAACACTGTTTGAACGAGTTCAGTTTTCCAGATCCCTATTCCAAGGTGAGTTCAAGACACTTTTCCAACACTCTGAAACTGTTCAAGTGATGGATGGCTCAGAGGGGAGAGATTAGGAGCCAGTTCTTGCAGTGGTTGGGAGGAGAAACAGCACTGGGGAATGGGACATAAACCTCTTTATGTCCCTGTTCACCTGAACAGGCTCCTGGTGAGGATAATGATAACCAAAAAGACCACAACTTCAGTTGCCTGACAGCCCTGAGAAGCCAGTCTTGGTGCCAGCCCTGCTCCTGAGCAGTGGCTGTCACCAGACACTGTCACCAGGCTGTCACTGCTCTAATTCACTCCTCTGTGGCTGCTTTTGTCATTTGTGAGGTTCTCAGCACTGGGTTGGAGAGGGGACAAAGCACAACCTCCTGCTCTTAAAAACATTCGTTGCCACTGTGCAGCTGTTTTCTCTCTGTGTTTTGTTCTGTGACATGAAATGTTTGGGAAGAGGAGATTTGAGTCATTATTTATCAAAAAACAGCTTTCTGTATGTCCATTCCTCACCACTTATTTGTGTGATATATAAATATCAACAGTGCTAGTGGCTGATCCAAGACTCTTTTCCTGACTGTTGACATGTTTCTGCAAAATACAGAGAAAGTTCTCCCTGGCTGCACTGTCATGTGGTGCCTTCACTGTGAGAAAGGACTAAAACACATGGGAGGTGGCTTTTGCTTATGTTTGCTTCTTGTAATTCAGACAAGTTTACTGGCAAGACAAGATTTTGGTACCCAGAATAATTTTAAATTTTCTAAGAGAAGTCACCCTGTAACACTGATCTCATTGGAAACAGAAAAGAGAAAAAAAACCTGAGAGCTGCTGAGAATTTGGGATGATGCAAAGAAAAACCAAAAAAAACACCCTTCAGATTTTGTGGGACTGCTGGTGGTGGTTTCCTGGGCTTGATGCATCATGTCACTGCTACAAGGTTTTTGTGTGTCCACTCTCCCATTCCCCACCTTGCCCAAGAGCCATTTCCCAATCTGCTCAAGATCTATTGCACCTCTAATTTGCTAAGAAAAGTAATTCTTGGGCTATAGATCATATCCTGGCACTCATGACACTTTTTGTGAGAATCCAGGAAAGTTTTTCCTTGGTCCTAAGCACGTTGACAACAATAACTGGTTGGTCCATGAGAGGCCATGAACTCAGAGGAGATGCTTAAAAGTGGCTTTGGGACTGAGACAGCCAGGGCTGGGTAAGAAATGTTGGTCTGTAAATCCAATGTTTCCTGTCTGTCTTACAGGTAAAGCAGAAAGAAAATGGAATAGCCTTAAAGTGTTTCCAGAGTGTGATCGAGTCCCTGGATTCCCTGGGCTGGGAGGAGAGGCAGTTTGCACTGGTGAAAGGACTTCTGGCAGGGAATGTCTTTGACTGGGGAGCAAAGGCAGTCTCAGAGTAGGTGTTACATCCTTAAACAGCACCATTTAAGCTACAGAATGTCCAGTTGTGGGGTTTTTTTCCTAAAAAATAAAGTTCCTCAATCTCCCCATCAGCCTTTGTACAGCACTGTTGCAGCCTGCAGCTGGTTTAAGTCATTACATTTCATGGTGGTTTGGAGACCCAAAAATGTATTTTTTGCCCTTTACTGCCTCCAAACATCTCTGCATTGCTGAGCCTGTTTTCTTTTAGCATCAAAACTCTGATTTAATGTCCTGATGAGCCTTTTGTTTTTAAAATTATCACAAAATACATTTCCCAGTCCTGGGACCCAGAGACACCCCCAGTATAAGCAGTGCAGTAAAATTGCTGGGCCCCAGCTAAAGAAATGTTTGAATTCCACTGATGTGAGGTGGAGGTGTTCAACTGTGCCCTTTGTCTCTCTCCTGTCCCAGTGTTCTGGAGTCTGAGCCACAGTTTGGGTTTGAAGAAGCCAAGTCAAAGCTCCAAGGTAAGGGGAGATCCCTGCTCATGGTTGGATGTTAATGAGGGAATGGAGTGGGAATGTTTGTGGGGTTCTGGTACCCAGATGACAGAGAATCATTTAGGGTTGTTAGGGTTATCTGAATGCAGACCCAGAGTTTAGGTATTGCTCCAAAGGAGTTAAACCTGCAGACTCTCTCCTTAAACACAGAGATGGTCACTCACTGTTGTGTCCCTGCCAGGGAACAGTGTCCTGGGGGGTCCACACCCAGCTTTAGGGTGAAAATTCCACTTCAGGCCTCCTGTCATGGAGCCATTCCCATAACAGAGAGCTGGGGAACCCTGTCAGCCTGCACATTTAACATTGGAAACCTGAGCTCAAATGTTTCAATGCTTCAGTGAGTGCAGCATGAGCCTCCTGCTTGTACCATGTGCAGAATGACTGCTGATAAGAGGTAGTGGCTGCTGATAAGAAATTCTGACACTGCTCTGTCTGTGCCACAGAACGTCCCTGGTTGGAAGATTCCTACAGCCAGTGGCTGGAACGACTGAAGGTACGACCCTGGGTGGCCCTAAACCCACTAATTAACCACTTTAATCATCAAACCACCTTGGTAATTGTGGGGTTTGAATAGAACTCTGTTCAGACAGCCCAAAACAAATCCCAGTAATTCACCATAAAGAAAGGAGTAAAGGAATTAGTCTAAAATGTGGTTACTTCCCAAGCTGCTTCCCTGAATTCCCACTGGAGCCCAGCTGCTCCCAGAGCCTCCCCTCCTTATCAGGGCTCTTATTTCCATACACCCAGACCCCTGAATTTAAAAACCTGGGGCCAAATACAGTGTTTGAGTTGTTCCTCCCCCTGAGTAGCCAAGCTAAAACTGGCATTAATGTAGGAGCTTGCTGGAAGTAATGAACTTACCAATTAGCAAAGCTTTTTTTCTTTTTTTCCCATGTGATCTCTTTTACCATTTAATTAAGATTCATTAACAAGCTTTTGTGTCTTTGTGTAAATCTCTGTGTTGAAAATGACAGTGTAAAGGTTGGGGATGAGCAGACTATGGCAAATCATTACATGCTCCATCCTAAAACAATGCACCAGCTAATCTTGTGTAACAGGGGTAATTAGGGAACTACAGGCACTGTCCTGTCAGTTTTTATTAGGAATTAAGCATTTTTCAGTTCTTCTGCTGGTATGAACTGGAGTGAACTAAGTTTCATAACACCAGGTTGAGAACAAATGAAGAGGTTAATGGAGAATAGGCACTATCTTTTCATTTTAGGATGTCACTGTCCCCACAGTCCATGCTGCCCTTTCCTGGCAGAAGGGAATGCTGTTCAGCCAGCACCAGGCTGGCTTGAAACACCCTCCAAGGTAGGTCCAGCTGGCACCCAGCACGTTCAGGATCAAAGCCTGACTCTGGAGTTAGGCCTGGCTTGAGCTGGCAGGTGGAGGTTTTATTGCTGGAGTTTGAGAGCCCTGTCTCAAACACAGCGCAGGAACTTGAGGGGTGTTTTAAAACAGGAACTGTTTTAAACCCCTGTGCAAAGACACCATCAGGGAGCCCCATTCCTCCTGTTTGTCACTGGTGTGTGCTGGGAGTTTGCTGCAATCCAGACCCCGAGGCTCAGGTGTTTGAGGGTATAAAATGTGGGACTTTGGAGGAGTAGCTGTGAATAACAAACTTCCCTGAGGTGAGTGGTGCTCCATCCTGAATGCATTGGTTTTCTCTTGCAGGAGGGTCCCCCTCATAAATGTGCCTTAATTTTCGCAGATAACAGTGGGATAGACATAATTTTAGGAGTCTTTCCTTTTGTCCGAGAGCTCCTTTCTAGAGGGACAGAGGTGAGTGCTTTTCCTTGCCAATTCCTGTGGAGTTTTGCTAACTGCTGGAAGGTGTCACTGCCCACCAGCAGGACACTCCTCTGCCAAACTAGGAATAATCCAAGCACCTGGAATGCCACAGCCTGACTGTGTGACCTCTCCTGGCACCTTTCCCCCAGGTGATTTTGGCCTGTAACTCTGGCCCTGCCCTCAACGACGTCACCTACAGCGAGTCCCTGATCGTGACCGAGCGCATCGCGGCCATGGACCCCGTGATCCAGTAAGCACCTCCTCTGTCACAGCTCCCTGGGGACAGCAGATCCTGCCTTTGCATTTCACTGTTCATCTGTAACTGCAGCCTCAGCCCAAGGCACAGCGTTTGCTTTCGTTAAAGTGAAAAATGTAGAAATTGGGTCTTTCTGGTACACCCATAGTTATATTTCTTGTATCTTCCCTGACAAGCACTCCAGCTGCTCTGCCAGGAATTCTCTATGTTAATAGAGGCAAACCCAAGGAAGTCACACACAGAGTGTCCCCAGGAGAGGATGCTCAAGGAAACATTGTGTTTCCTGGTGAAGCCCCTGCAGCAAAGGAAGCCTTTGTAAAAGAGGGTTTGATATTCCTGCTTCTCTGCCTTATTCCCAGATGTGCAAGGCCCTGCTGAAGCAGCTGTTTAATATTTTTGTCTTTCTAAACAGCTCTGCACTGAGGGATGAGAAGCTGCTGTTGGTTCAGACGGGCTCCAGTTCTCCGTGCCTGGATCTGAGGTACATGGGCAAAGTGCCACTGTGTGGTTTGCAGGATGGTCAGAGGTTTGGCTGTGGAGCATCCCAGGCACCCTTCCCACTGGGAATCGCTTCTGCACACCCATCAGTAGGTGCTTAGTGTGGATTTGCAGAGCTGTGACACTGCTCAGGCCTTACAGCTGTTGGCCCTTGGTGAGGTGTCTGTTCAGCACACAGCTGAGTGAGGAGCTGTGGTTATGGCTGATGTCAGATACTGCAGGTGGCCAAAACCCCCTGGGATAGAAGCATAATTTCACCTCCTTTAACCTATTCTGATCAGTTCTTCTACTGGAGACAGAACTTACCTGTGTCAAAATCCCAACTTGGGTACATTTAAACACCATTTCAATCCATCCCCTTGGCTTTCATGTGCTGCTGTTTGTGGGCACGTGTAACTCCTTGCAGAATCCCACCTGGCAGCTTGGGGCAGCTCTGGGGTGCAGCTGCAGGTGTGGCTGTGGTGTGGCTGCAGGTGGAGCTGAGGGGTGGCCAAGGTGTGGCCATGGTGTGGCTGCAGGTGGAGCTAAGGTGTGGCTGTAGTGTGGCTATGGTGTGGCCGAGGGGTGGCCATGGTGTGGCTGCAGGTGGAGCTAAGGTGTGGCTGTAGTGTGGCTATGGTGTGGCCAAGGGGTGGCCATGGTGTGGCCGCAGTGTAGCCATGGTGTGGCTGCAGGTGGAGCTGAGGTGTGGCTGCAGATGTGGCCGAGGTGTGGCTGCAGTGGGGCTGAAGATGGAGCTAAGGTGTGGCTGCAGTGGGGCTGAAGATGGAGCTAAGGTGTGGCCGCAGTGCGGCCGAGGTGTGGCCGCAGTGCAGCCGCCCTGACCGCGCTGTGTTGCAGCCGCCTGGACCAGGGCCTGGCCGTGCTGGTGCGGGAGCGGCAGACGGACCTGGTGGTCATCGAGGGCATGGGCAGGGCCATCCACACCAACTACTACGCCGTGCTCAGGTGTGAGAGCCTCAAGCTGGCCGTCATCAAGAACTCGTGGCTCGCCGACCGCCTCGGGGGCAAAATCTTCAGCGTCATCTTCAAGTACGAAGTGCCCTGTAAATGATGGAGCTGGCACAGCTGATGGACTTGCACTAGTTTTACTTTAACTGTAAAGAATGTATTTTTATTACAACAGGGACAAGAGTTCACAGGAAATTCCGTATTTATATTGTGCTTTTGTGACTTTAAAAGCGACAATATGATTCACTCTATAGTCTACACACTCAAATATATATATGTATATCACTCATTGTTTATTTTGGTAAGTGTTTATTTTAATGCTGCAGTATTTGTGATGAAAAGACTTTATTTTTTTGTTCTGTGAGACATTCATATAGAAATATATTTAAATGTCAATGAAACCTTTTTTTATACATCTCTGCCTACTCTGCCAGCAGTGACACAGCACCTACCAAATAGTTTTTAAGTGCTAAGTGAACCTGATGTTGCATTTTCTGACGTTGCATTTTCAGCTTTTAGACTTACCTAAAGCTCTCCTGCTCTGTGCAGCTCAGTTGATGGAAGGGCTGATCCACCTTCTCACCCCACAATTTTGCTCAGGCTGTGACTGAGCCAGGGCTGTTGCAGTCTGAGTTAGGGACCAGCTCTGGTTTCCCAAAACCTGGAATTCCTAACCCCTTGTTGGTTCCATTAGCAGGAGGGATGAGGGAGGGAGTCCTGCAGCTGCCCTGAATTCCTTCACAGCAGCTGGAAGCTGAGTCTCACTAAGCTCCCCTCCCAGGGGATGTGCAGTGCTGGATTCAGGATCACCCACAAGTTCCCAGCCTGAGCCCCCTTGGTTCCTGTTCCTTTCAGTTCTCCCTGCTGGGACTGACAAGGATTGGTGGCTTTGTTCCTGCAGTGCAATTACAGCCATTCCCAAGGAACCCAATTTGTTTTTCCCTCCTTCAGCTGTGCAGTTCACAAATGGAGTGATTTCACCACCAATTTGCCCTAACACTTAAATGCCTCAGTCATCCCAGCTCTGAAGGGAAAACAGCTTAATGAGGAAGATGTTTAACATGCAGCTGAGAAAACTGTTCCCCTGAACTTCAGCATTGTTTGAGAGCAGGAGAGTGATGCAAAACACCCTCACATCTCCCCTTGCAGGGGAGCTGGGGCTGTGCTGTGTTTGACTCATCCCTGCACTCCTTCCCTGCTCTGGTACTGATAGATTTCCACTGTCAATCCTCATTTCTTGGGCAACGAGAACAAAACATTCTCTGTCACCCACCAGAGGCCCTTATCCTGTGATGGGAAGGGACAAAGGACAAGCCCTGCCTGCCATTTCTTAGCTCAGGTGCTTCCTTGGTGGCAGGGGCTCCCTTTCTGGGCTTTGGGGTGCAGCCTGTTTGGGGTTACACAGCAGCACTGTCACTTCTGATCCAGGAATTACCTTCCCAGGGACCAGCCCCTCCTGCTCAGGGTGAGGCTATTCATAGCTGCAAGGCTTAAGCTGCTGTTGCTGATTACAAGAGACAGACAAGAGCTTTGATGTTCCACGACTGTTCCTCACACAGGAATTAGTAGCAGAGGCTTCACATTAACCTGTCCCCAGTCACTTCCTCCTACAGGCCTTGATGGACTTACAGGGTGAACTTCAAACCTAACCATGGATCCACCATCCTGGCCAGCTCTGCTCCAGTTTGTCCATTTGTCACAGTTCCACTCTAGCCCTTAGCAGTTTAAATTCTTCCAAGCCACTTAATTTCCTTGTGTCTGCAGCTCCACCACCACTCCAGAAGTGCTGTGTGTGTGTGTAATTAGCAAACTAACACTCTAGACTAGCAGAAAAACATCTTCCTACGCTGATACAGCTCCTAGGACGTGGCACAACCCTAACACAGCAAAAGCTCCTCAAGCATTTGCCTTCCCTGACGTCTCCTGGCTTTGTCTGGCGGCTCCTTTTATGCGTAGACGAGTGCAGATTTCTTCTGTGAAAACAGAGCAGCAAGATTTCTGAAAGAGAAGGGGGGAGACAAAGCTGTGGGTGGGTTGTTCTGTGGATCCATCTTTTCCATGTGCACATTGGGAGGGCTGGAGAGCAGGAGCACCAAGGGTTTACGCTGGGACACTGATGCAGTTTCACTCTGTGTGTGTTTGCCTTGTGTTATGACTAAAGAACAGCCACCACTGGGAGTAAACTCATTAAGGATCATTTACTGTCCTCTCTAACACCCAGGGCAGTGGAATGCAATTTGGCTGCCTTGGGAGTTCAGGGAATGTTACTTAATTTTTTTTTTTTTTTGGGTGGGGGGGAAAGGGGTGCAGGGGGTTTATTTTATTCCTATCTATTATATTTATGCCGTTCAGGCTACAAACCCATCCCACAGCCCAAGCTGTGAAATTTTGGCACTTTAAGGAGTAACTGCATAGCCTCCCCTCACCCCCTCACAGCTTTCCTTAGAAAACCAAGAGCAGGGTGGAAATGCTGGTGCATGAGGGACACAGGGGACAGGACAAGATGCAGGGCCCACTTCGGTGAAAGGAGGGACACAGGGGACAGGACAGGATTAAATGCAGGAGCCAGGGCCCACCTTGGAGAGAGACATAGGAAAGCAGGACAAGGTGCAGGGCCCACCTTGGTGGAAGGGGGGACATGGAGAGGCAGGATGGGGCTCAGAGCAGGAGCCAGGGCCCACCTTGGTGGAAGGAGGGACACAGGACAAGGTGCAGGGCCCACCTTGGTGGAAGGGGGGACACAGGGGAGGCAGGACAAGGTGAGGGGTCACCTTGGAGGGAGGAGGGACACAGGGATGCAGGATGGGGCTCAGAGCAGGAGTCAGGCCCACCATGGTAGAAGGAGGGACACGGGGATACAGGACAAGGTGCAGGGCCCACCTTGGTGGAAGGAAGGACATAGGGGGCAGGACAGGACCTGGAGCAGGAGCCAGGGTCCACCTGGGTGGAAGCAGGGTCACAGGAGGCGGGATGGGGCTCAGAGCAGGAGCCAAGGCATATGTTGTTGGAAGGAGGGACACGGGGCAGGACAGGAGCAGGAGCCAGGGCCCACCTTGGGGGAAGAAGGGACACAGGATGGGGCTTGGATCAGGAACCAGGGCCCACCTTGGGGGAAGAAGGGACACAGGGGGCAGGACAGGAGCAGGAACCAGGGCCCACCTTGGTGGAAGAAGGGACACAGGATGGGGCTTGGATCAGGGGCTTGGATCAGGAGCCAGGGCCCACCTTGGGGGAAGAAGGGACACAGGGGGCAGGACAGGAGCAGGAGCAGGAGCCAGGGCCCACCTTGGAGGAAGAAGGGACACTGGGGGCAGGACAGGAGCAGGAGCAGGAGCCAGGGCCCACCTTGGCGTGCGCGGCCGCGCGGCGGCTGCTGCTGGAGAGCTCGGCCAGGGCGGCGAGGATGCCGAGGGCCAGGCCGATGCCCAGGGTGAGGAAGAGCCCCCCCAGCGCCGGCGGCTCCAGCGGCCCCCAGCGCTCCCGGCTCTGGCGCAGGCAGCTGCTCTCCCACCACTTGTTCCTCAGGTAGTCCAGGTCGCCCGACTCGCGCAGCTTGAGCACGGCGATGGACAGAGGCTTGGTCCAGGGGGATGCTGGGCAGCGGGAGAGGAGAGAGGGGAGGATGGGAGAGCTCCCAGCCATGGTTTAGTTAGATGTTGTTAAAGGGGTCAGAGGTGTCACCGAACACAGCCCCGCCTGCCAAAGGCTTTTCCTGGCTAACATTGATCCTGCCCTGGCCACAGAGGGTGGTTACACCTGGAGGATAAGGGCAGAGTGAAGGTGCTTTGGGAAGAACACGAGCAGACTGTCCCCTGCTCACTGCATTAGGGGACCCGCATTCCTGGGGCCAAGGCCACCAGAGATGGAATATTTGCGCACTAGAGTCCAAAGTGAGAGCCAGTGTTAATTCCCCACAGAGCAGTGACCCCGCCACGCAGCGTTTTCACTCTGCTCGCCCTGACAGCAGTGGTGGCTCCGGCCCGTTGCTGTCCCAGGGAGGAGGGGGGCAGCAGAGGGGACAGGGACTCACCCTGGGTGGTGGCGATGCCGAAGCCACGGGCCCCGATCACCTCGGGGGCCCTGATGAGGTTGCAGTGGCGGGCGGCCGCCAGGTCCTGCGAGATGGACTCGCCGATGAAGGCGTAGTTGGAGTCCATCACGCGCTGCACGGCCTCCTGGTAGGTCTTGACCAGCACGTGCTCCCTCCTCTTCTCCATGTACTCATAGATCATCTGGTGGATGGGGTTCTTGGAGTTCTGCAGCCCAGAAATCCAAGTGTCAAACTCAAATGTCAAACCCAAGTGTGAAAAAATCCAAGTGTCAAACTCAAGGGTTTGACAACCACCAAAAAAATTAAAATCTGCCTGTATGTTCAAGGGTTGTAAAACAGTTTGGAGAAGAAGAGCACTTAAACCATGTGTGAAGCCCTGCAAGCACAGATTGTCCCCAACACTGGGGACAAGCATCACACAGGGGTACAAGTGTCACCTGCTGCCCGAGGTACACAAGGACAGCCCCTGCAGAGTACAGAGATTTTAAAAGGAGAATTCAAAACAAAATAAGAATTCTGTGCCTGCTTTCCTGTGAGAAGAGGTGGAGGAAGGGCTGAACAGAACAATAATTGTATATTTGAAGTATTCCAGGAAAACTGAGGGAGTCAACAGTGACGAGGGTGCTGTAGGGGTTGTAAGGCCTGAGCTGTGAGACTCAGCCCCAGCTCAGCAGTCCTGCAGCCCTGGGTGTGGGCACAAGGAGATTCTCTGCACCTTGAAGTAGTAGAAAGTCGAGGAGCCCTCCAGTGTCCCAAACTCCAGGTTCCTTTGCTTGACCAGGTCCTCGAAGGTCTGGATGGGGAGCTGCTCGCTGCCGGAGCTCAGCAGGGCCGTGAAGTTGGCGATGTAGGCGGCCAGCAGGGCCAGGGTGAAGAGCCACCAGACCACAGCAATGACCCTCACCGAGAGTGCCTGGGGCCGGGGGGTGGCACCTGCACCACAGGGAGCCAATAAATCACCATAAATCACACCGCAGGGGACGTGGGGCCAGAGACACACCAAGAACTGCAGATGCAGCAGACTGAGTTACAGACTTCGCTTTAAATAAAGGCAAAGTGCAGACCCTGCCCTGCAGCTGCACAGAGCCTGAGCCTGGAGGGCCCCTCTGTGCTGCTCTGGGCAGCAGCAGTGGCACAAAAAAAAAAATCCTCCGTACAAAGCAGCCCTACCTGCTCAGCTGGGCATTGCCCCAAGCCGTGATTGCCCAGAGCAGAAAATGTTCCCCAGCCAGAG